TATAACAGAAAGAGGAGCTATGTTGATCCCATTTAACACCCACATACAATTGACTGAACTTTTTATATTACCAGCACAACTTCAGATTCCTGGATTTCTGGCATTCTATAAGAAAGGTGGAAATTACCTAAAATAATAACTGAGGTATATTTTGCTGCCACCCTCAACTTGAGATTTTGTGCAGATGTGTTAGCTTTAGAAAAGAAATTAACACCTGAGTTTGTAAAAGAAAATTCACATTTCACATATTTATTTAGAAAGCATTATTTTCAAGCTCTCTTGTTGGTCTTTGTATTTGTAGTATCTTTTGACATTAGAGATGATTATTATGTTTTTTTGTTTATGGTGAGATTTTCTGTTTACTCATGTATATGGTACGTGATTCAGTTTATGTGTGTGTGATTAAGTCTTTCAATGATTTTCTTTATGCGTATGCTCTTGTCTTTTTAAGTAAGATCATCACTTATTGACTCCAAAACTATGAAAAATATTCAATATCCTCAATGTTTCTAAAGTATTACTTTGATCTCTAGTCCGTAGTAAATTGAGGAGTGTGGTGTTTGTGTGTGTGTGTGTGTGTGTGCACGCAAGCGTGTGTGATATCAGTACTGGGATCTATGTTATTTTGTTATGTTTTTCTTTTCTTTTGAGGGAAGGTTGGAGTCTCACTCTGTCACCATGCTCACTCTGTCACCATGCTGGAGTGCAGTGGCACGCTCACAGCCACTGCAACCTTGGCCTACTGAGCTTGGTGATCCTTCCGCTTCAGCCTTCCAAGTAGCTGGAACTACAGGCACATACCACCATACCCAGCTAATTGTTTTTTTTTTAACTGTAGAGATGAGGTCCCACCAAGTAGCCCCAGGCTGGTCTCGAATCCGTGGGCTCAGACAATCCTCTCACCTTGGCCTCGCAAAGTGCTGGGATTATAGGTGTGGGCCACCAAGCCTAGCCAGGTTTTTTTTTAATATAGAACCCACTTTCTCACTAGATTTATTTTGCTTTTCCAATGTAAAATCTGTGAGATATCCTATCCTAATATATTTCATACTCATAATGTCTTGCTATACCTGACCTCTGAGAAAGACCAACTGATGAAATAAAAAAAACCAATGACCATATCTCAGTCTACCTTCTAAATTCATGCTAACATTACAGAAAAAAATAGCAAATAGCTATCAAATTAAACAGTTTTAAAGTTTTATAGAATTGTACAATTAAGAAACTAACAAGGTATGAGTAAAAATAGTTTGCAAAAAGTTGCAATTATGAAGAGAGTTCAGTGATCCCAGAACTGGCTTGACTCCATTTTTGTAAAACAAAATGTCAAAGTTACTTTACAGTTGTGCTTTGAAGGTTAATTTTTAATTATTGAGGAACTTTTGGTTTTTTGTACGTCTATTCTGTGTGGCCTTTAAAGCTCCAACATTCAAGTTTTTACAGTGGCCTTAGGGAGAGAATATTTTAAATTGAGCAAAAGACATGATACACCAGTGAATTTTTTGATTATTTTCTTTTCCCACAAGGATAACAGTTTTCTCCAGATTTTCCCATCCTAATATCATTCTCAGTTTGGTCATGGGTGTGAAGGTCTGGGGCATAAATATTGCCTCACAATATTTGTGAAATTTTAATTTGAAGTTGGTGAAAACTTAGATCTTTCTACTGGATTTAATGAAGAGATACTCTGGGATTTACTCACAACGGTTAGTCTAATTCCAAGGACTGAAGTTTAATAATCTCTCTTTGCTTAACCACTCAGAAAAAGAAATTGACTTTTTCTGATGCTGATGAAAAGTGGAAATTTGGCCGGGTTCGGTGGTTCAGCCTGTAATTCCATGCTTTGGGAGGCCGAGGTGAGTGGATTGCCTGAGTCCACCAGTTCAAGACCTGCCCGGGCAACTTGGCAAGACCTCGTCTCTATAATAAATCAAAAATTAGCCGGGCATGGTGCACGCGCCTGTAATTCCAGCTACTTGAAAGGCTGAGGTGGAAGGATCACCGGAGCCCAGCAGGTCGAGGCTGCGGTGGCCGGGAGCGGCCACTGCACTCCAGTCTGGGCGACAGAGTGAGACTCCAACTCAAACAAAAAAAAGAAAGAAAGAAAGAAAGAAAGAAAAGTGGGAATTCACTGATATCAAAACATGGGGTTTTGAGAAATTGACACAATATTTAAGAACATGCCAAATCCACTATTGAGTACAATGTGTACAGGTAGGGGTGGTGGGTACACTTAAAGACCAGGCTTCTTCACTATACAACACAACCATGTAACCAAAACTCCCTAAAGCTGTTGAAATAAAAATAAATAAACATGACAAATCTAGATTTAAAATTTCAATTCTTCAATGACATTTTATTCTTACTTTTTTGAGTTTGTAAAATTGACATATTTAAAAATAAGAATAAAAAAGTAATGAGAAATATATATAAATAGCACTTAAGATTTTATTTTGAATTTTTCTTTTTTTCCCATGTGCTCTCTATTTCTGTTAATTGGGATCATGCTATAAATAGAATATAGTGTTTTGATTTTTTTCCCCCAATCATTTGTAATGCTCTTTTGCTACTTTTGTATTTGATCTTCTTTCCTTTTCTGTGTAGTAGGAAACAACCCTTCTGTCAGCAGTTGGGACTCTGCTGGAATATAATAGTGTAATTTTACCTATACTTCTCAAAGAAAAGCATGTGTTTCAGATTACCAATCAGAAGGCCCCACGTGGATTTATCCATGTGACAGAAGCATAGCCAATCAGAAAAAGTATTTTCCATGTTGGTAAAGATGGGAGGGGATGGCACTTTTTATTGCATCCTTAAATATAAGGCTACAAGGTGACAATAATTGACTCTGCCATTACATGGAGAGACACTACATGAGAATGAAGTTAACATTCAAAGGAGAGAAGAGCAACAAAGGGTGAAAACAGGAGTCTAGTGAAGAATTTGATTTCTTTCTCCTGCTGTACCTCTTGGACTTCCATCTTCTGTGAGTCAATATAGTGCCTTTTGCATTCAAAATAATTTGCTTGGTATTTTTCTCATTGTCAGCCACAGTCCTACTACTATAATCTTATATCACAAAATATTCCATATCTCTAAAACTTCATGTATTAATATATTTGTATAGTCTGGAAAATGGCCCATTCTAAGAACATATAATTTCATGAATACAGAATACTATCTCAAATATTTATTCTTATTTAAATAGTTATTATTGGCATATGTATTATTGTTATTGCTATGAACATATCAGACTCAATTTAACCTTCCCATCTTATTGGACATATGCATTTTCAGTCTTTGTCTTTCTTAAGTAAAATTTGCTCTCCATCTTACCATGTAAATTAGTACAGTACCTCTCATTATTTTCTCAGCTTAGAATTCTAGATATTAAATACTCTAAGGGAAAAATAATCTGACTTTTAAAATATTTGTCAACTTTTTTTAAAGGATTGAAACAATTTATTTCTGATCAGAAATGCATGGTTGCCCACCTTATTACACACTCATCAGCACTAAGCTTGCAAGGTGTTATACATATATATTCTAAATATTTTATTATAAATATTATTTATAAACTTGCCCTGTATGGGTCCCTCAGTCCTGTGGCGTTGCCTATATACAAAGGCAGGGCCACAGGCCCCTTGAACTCTGCTGTTCACACATGTGCTGCCTTGTTCTCTCCAGCCCAAGATGTTACACAGGCTCCACATTCTCAATATAGGAGTGTGTGCTGAGTTCTCTGGCCTGTCACATTAGGATCACGCTTCCGAAGAGACTCCCTGGAGGACACCGATGAGAGTGTGAAAGCAGGGGCAGGAGGAATCGTTTATGAACACAGCCACATCAGATTGCCCATTCTCACATCATTCTTTTAGACAGTTTTTTCCTTTTCTATTCCATTTTCTGCATTCTTATACTCAGCTTTCCTATTGTCTATACTTTCTGACATGTCCACTCAAATCCACTTTCTTTAGTACCACCATTCTCTAACCTTTCCTGCTCACATATATACAAACTTGACATCCAGCCTGGAGTCAGAGACTCTTTCTACCTCTGTCTCCATCATTCATAGATCAGGGTCTCTCGGTTATAACAAGTAAAGAATCAATCAGGTTGGGGAAGATACTAGCAACAACAACAAAAGTGCCTTTATTCTCTGATTGTTTGGATGGTGAAAATAATACATGTAAAGTACTTAGCTTAGTACATGGTACATAACTGCTCATTATGTTATCCATGTTATTATTACTTTTATTTTAAGTTGACCCCTACAATATTTAATGAGCTGCCGAGATTTGTTCTTCTCTCTTCCTACTTGCAGGATCCTGCTTTCTCACTGAATTCAATATCCCCAGTATCAGGATCTCCCCAGCCTCGAAATATCCATTCTCTGAAGAATAGGCAACACAAGGATTGAATGAGGTAAGGAGTCCACAGGCAGACAAGCCTAGAAGTCTGCTCTCTGGTAGACCTAAAGTTCTTGACTTTCTCTGAGAGAAAAGTCCCTTTAAGAATTAGTGAGAAACAATCAGATTTGAAATAGGAATAGAAAATGATAAATAGGTCTAGGAGTCCTCTATGAAAGATGATACTTTCTACTAAAAAAGTAGACTGTCCCCGATGCTTAACAATTGGCAAAAATTCCCCTCCTCTCCCCTCCCCCCTTTTTCATCCTCCCTCCCTCCCTCCCTCTCTCTTTCTCTCTCTCTTTCCCCATTCTCCTTTCTCTCTCTTTCTCCTTCTCCTTCTTTTCACCCTTCCCTCCCTTATCCAGTCTTTAGGGCTGACACAGACTTGGCAAGGTAATGTGTCAGTCAACCTTTCAGAGTTAGCTAAATAGATTCTGAATTGTCAATTATAGTTATTTTTAAATGGCACAACATCTTGGAGCTCAGAACAGGACTGGTGATAGATATGGACTCTACAAGAAATAAAAGCAAGCACATCATCCCAATAGAATATATCCCCTTATCCTTTTTATTCCCTACAGAGAAAGGATGAGGACTCTGGTCACCATGCACCCACTGCCTTTGCTGCTGCTGCTGCTGCTGCTGCTACATTCACTGCAGGCCCAGAAGCTTCTAGGGAATATCAATGGTTTCTATGTGCCAACTGATAGAAAAGAATTTGCAGAATATTTGGAGGAAGTTTATGGTACAGGACCTACCAGAAAGCCTTCCAGAGAAAAAGCCCTACGGAAGGTCATTGCTGAACGTGGGACAAGTTTTAGTAGCATGTACTGTAGAGATGAAATGTGGTATAGAAATGTCCACTACAGGCTCCGTTGTGTGCCAGAGAATTTCTTCCTTTATATGGAATATGAGGAGCTGCAAGAGATCTGTAAGACTAAAACAGTGCCATGTAAGGATGGAACTAAAAGATGTAAGAAAAGCAATAGAATAATACAGGCGGTGTATTGTAGTTTAATAGAAGGAGAACGAATGCCAGATTGCGAATATGCATCTTTTCAGAGGAGGGGATATGTCCTTATCACTTGTCGATGGCAAAATGAAACCCAAGAGTTCATTCCTGATAGTATAAATGATATGATCCCAGACTAGTAGCAGAAAAGCATCATCCATCAGAACTTAGGGTGGAAGAATATAAGCCTCTTCATACTGATTCTTGTGGATCAAAATTGAAAATGATAAGTTTGTTTCCATCCATTTTAATCACTCACTTCCTTCCCTCCCTTCCTCCGTCAACACCACGCAAAGACAACATGGGCTAGGTTCACAGATAGTGCTCACACAGGTCCCATAATTTAGCATGTCTTGAATGTGTTCTGAGTATGAATGCCTGCAGTGAAAAGCTGCCCAGCACCAAGCAGGACAGGAAATGGTTGCTTGACGTGTGCTCCAAAGACACATTCTTGTGATTCTGTAGCTCAGCAGAAAGATTAAAGTGCTTCAATCTAGTGCAGTGGCTCTGGTATGATTATGTGGGGTTACTCACTTTGGAACTTTCTTCCTTGTGACACAACTTGGCACAAAGAGAACTCAAATCTCTCCAAGACATTTGTGCAATACATCTTTCCAGGGCTATGTTTGCAGGTGTTTCACTTGTCCTGTTCTATCCATAAACACAGCACATGGAGCCATGAAGGAGTAGATCTAAATAGGAGACTGCTCAGGACATAACCTTTAAATATTTAGGAAAACAAACTCCCCTAAGTACTTTTCAGTTGTTCAGTGCTATTTTTGTGAATTCATGCATCTTTGCTTTAGCTTCAATGTCAGTGTTCACACAACTATAAACCCTTTCTCACTTTCTGGCATACTCACAATTATCCACAATCGTTTCTTCACTTGCCAGTAGATGTGACTACATCTGATAATACATCACCTCAGAGAAAGGTTGAAGAAGCAGTATGATAAAAGAAATATATCTCTGTCCAGTTTAAGTATCAATGTATCTCCTTTTTTTTTCAAACTTCTTAACATCTTCTTACTATTATTGTTTAAATTTTTCTGAAAATGGAATAAAGAATAGTGATGGGGAGGGTAGAGAGAGTATCTATTGCTCTTGGCACATTTCACCCAATCCGATTGGTAAGTCTCCTCCCATTTTTTATTTATTTTTTATTTTTTTTAATAAATTTTTTTTTTTTGAGTTGGAGTCTCACTCTGTCGCCCAGACTGGAGTGCAGTGGCCATTCCTGGCCACCGCACCCTCAACCTGATGGCCGCCGGCGATCCTTCCACCTCAGCCTTCCAAGTAGCTGGAACTACAGGCGCACGCTACCACACCCGGCTAATTGTTGATTTATTGTAGAGATGAGGTCTCACCAAGTTGCCCAGGCGGGTCTCGAACCCGCGGATTCGGGCAATCCACTCACCTCAGCCTCCCAAAGGCGCGGAATTACAGGTTGAGCCACCGAACCCGGCTTCCTTCCATTTTTTAAATCCTTATCTTTACACTCAGAGCTAAGCTCCTAATTTATTAATTGGTTAATATTAGTGAAGGACTAGGGCAAAAACTGCTAGTCCTCTTTCACTGACCAAGGAGAGAGACACTGGAAAAATCATGCTTCTAGATACCAATCTTGACATAGAGGTGTGTGGCTTTTGATTATAATATCTGAAAAAATGAGGATCTCATTCAACTTTGGAGAATCTCCATGACACCCTCTAAAACTCAACCTTCTATACCTGAGCTGAAGAAATTCTGCACATAGGCTAACCTGAATCATCTGTGCTATGTTGACATCATCAATCTTGGAGTTGTACAACATGCAATATATTTACAAGAATTTGGTAAAGTACAATCAAAAAGCATGAAAGAAATCATAATGTATCTCCTATCTTAAGAATAGTAGCCAATCTTATCTAAATAACTTTTAGAAATAGACTCATAAAACTAAAACAAAGATCATTTACACAGATTTTTCCTGTTCTTTGATGTTGCATTAAAACATTAAAAAAAGAAATCTCTACCAACTGAATTCCCGAGAAGATGGCCTGCAATAGTTTGAATGTGCTTCCTCCAGATTTCAGGTATTAGGCCTGAAGTGGTGACTCATGCCTGTAATCTCAGCACTTTGGGAGGCTGAGGTAGGAAGATTACTTGAGCCCAGGAGTTCAGGAACAATCTGGGCAACTTAGCAAGACCGTGTCTCTACAAAAAAATGTTTCTAAAAAAACTTATTTGGGTATGATGGTGTGCACCTGTAGTTCCAGCTACTTAAGAGGCTGAGGGGGGAGTATGGCTTTAGCCCGGGAATTTAAGGCTACAGTGAGCTATAATCACGCCACTGCACTCCAGCATTGGCAACAAGGCATGATCCTGTTTCAAAACAATAGTAATAATTCAGGTGTTCCTGATGAGACCTTTGAAATGCAATTAGGTTATGAGGGCTTCTCCCTTGTGAGTGAAATTAGGGCTTTTGTAAAAGAGGCTTTATGCAATGTTCAGCTAGATTGCTCTCCTACTCTTCCGTCATGTGAAGAAATAACAAGAAACCCCTCACCAGATGACATTTTCATTTGGGACTTCTCAGTCTTCAGAACTATGAGAAATAAATTTCTGTTCATAATAAATTACTGAGTCGCTGGGCTTGGTGGCTCAGCCTGTAATCCCACACCTTTGGGAGGCTGAGGTGAGTGGATTGCCTGAGCCTGCAGGTTCAAGACCCGCCTGGGCAACTTGGCAAGACCTCATCTCTACAATAAATCAAAAAATTAGCTGGGCGTGGTAGCACACGCCTGTAGTTCCAGCTACTTGGAAGGCTGAGGCTGAAGGATCGCCGGAACCCAGCAGTTCGAGGCTGTGGTGGCCGGAAGCGGCCACTGCACTCCAGCCTGGGCGACAGAGGAGACTCCAACTCAAAAAAATAAAAATAAAAATAATATAAATAAATAAAATACATTACTGAGTCTATGGCATTTTGTTATAGCAGCATGAGACACATTGAGACAGAGCCAGAACTATACTTTTCAACTTCACTGAATAAGATTTTATGAAGACTGTGTCCAACTTCCTCTGGTACTCCCTCCTTAGTAACACTGGGTTTCATTATTAAGATAAACATTATCCATAATCTTGACTCACATCTTAATGTATTATTTACGCAATTGTCCCTTGAGATGATACAACATTTAATTTAAAATCCTGAAGTAAACAGACTCCACATGAGTTATAAAAAAAATAGACAGTGTTTTGCTTCCTCGACAAATTAAACCCAATCAACATTCTCTTATGGACATTCCTGATGTGCATAATGTTACTGAATAATTAAAAATGAGAAGAATCGGCCGGGCTTGGTGGCTCAGCCTGTAATCCCAGCACTTTGGGAGGCCGAGGTGAGTGGACTGCCTGAGCCCGCAGGTTCGAGACCTGCCTGGGCAACTTGGTAAGACCTCATCTCTACAATAAATAAATTTTTAAAAAAATTAGCCGGGTGTGGTAGCACGTGCCTATAGTTCCAGCTACTTGGAAGGCTAAGTGGGAAGGATCACTGGAGCCCAGCAGGTCGAGGCTGCAGTGGCTGGGAGTGTGCCACTGCACTCCAGTCTGGGCGACAGAGTGAGACTCAACTCAAAAAAAAAAAAAGAAAGAAAAAGAGAAGAATCTAGTTCAATAAGCAGAGAGCATGGTTGCTTCCATTCTCTCTCTCGCCAAACAGTCTCAAGTGCAGTTAAGGCTAGAGTGGAACCCAAACTAACAACTAATCTTGTGCTGCTCCTTGTTGAATAAAATTGATGATGTCAAACCTAGTCCTATTCATTTCCATCCCCACTAAGTATAATCGGCTGGGGCATAAGATGAGACTCTGTGTTAGGTCAAATATTTGGTCTCAAGCAGCAAACTGCACTGGGCATCTAACCAAAAAGGGGTTTATGGGAAAGGTAGAAGGAGACAATCAGGGTTATGAATCGAACAGAATAAAGAAACAAGAACTGGAAACATAGTAATTGTTTAATATCTATTTTATTTGCCTGGTACAAATCCTACTACACTTGTATTAATTAATTTATCCAACAGTGTCTTCAGTCCTTCATTCATTCAAGAGACAGTGTACCTGAACAGTGTCTGATTGTCCAACCATGGATAACCATTTTTTTAGTCCAGAGCTTGGAGAAAAAAATCTGTTCCTAGGGGTTCCCAAAACACTTGCCACCAATACTTCATAACATAAAGGGACAAGTAAATTTCCCAAAAGGAAATAGGGTGTAGTTTAGAGGAGGAATCGATACTGAGCAGTTAAAAAATGATAAATGTCTCTTTCAGGCTACAAGTTAAAAATTTGGGGACTTGCCTGCTTTTAATATTTGACTATACACCAGTGGCATGAAGCAGGGGAATGGGCAAAAAATGACATTCTGAAAAGGGATATAAAGATTTTATCAAGTTATGCTGCTGAGAAAACTGACTGATGACATGCAGAAGATTGAAACAGGATCCCTACTTATAAAAAATTAACTCTAAATGAATCAGAGACCTAAACATAAAACTTCAAACTATAAGAACCTTCGAAAATGCAGGAAACACCTTTATGGAAGTTGGAACTGGCAACCAATTCCTGAGCAAAACCCAAAATGCACAGGTCATAAGAGATAAGATAGACAAATGGAACTCATCAAACTGACAAGCTTCTGCAAAGCCAAAGAAACCATTAAGAGAGCAGGGAGACAGCCCACAGACTGGGAAAATATATTTGCCAACTCTGTGTCTGACAAAAGCCTAGCATCTAGGATCTACAAAGAATTCAAACATGCTGAAAAGAAAAAAACAAATGGTCCCATTACAAAGTGAGCAAAAGATATGAATAGACAGTTCTCAAAAGAAGACATATGAGCAGCCAACAGATACATGAAAAAATGTTCAGCTTCACTAGTCATCAAGGAGATGCAAATTAAAACTACACTGAGAGGCAGGGGTCAGTGGCTCAACCTGTAATCCCAGCACTGGGAGGCCGAGGTGAGTGGATTGCCTGAGTTCGCAGGTTCAAGACCCGCCCGGACAACTTGGCGAGATCTCATCTCTACAATAAACCAAAAATTAGCCGGATGTGGTGGTGCATGCCTGTAGTTCCAGCTACTTGGAAGGCTGAGGCGGAAGG